AGCTGGCCGGTATCCGGTCTTTCAGCTTACCAAAGGCCAGCTTCATTTCTATCTGCCCATTTACCAGGGCGATATCACTGCCATTGTGGTACTTCATGCGGATGCGCGACGCATCTGCTCCAGGGTGCACAATAAAATTATATTCCACCGGCTTGTCTTCGGTGGCGCGGGCGATAAACTCCAGATCAATACCGGGGTAAATATCCCTGTAAGTAACCTTTCCGAATTCATTTACCTGGTAACCGCCATTATCTCCTATTACATTCATGGTACTGCCCGGCACCTGATCACTGCTGATCAGCGCTGCATTAAGGTCGGCGCCCACCAGGTCAATATCCACGCGGTGGAATTGCATCACCTGCGTTTCGCCTTGTTTATTCTTCACATAAGCATCATAGCTAAACCCGCCTTTCCGCAGCTGCACGTTCAGTCCGTTCATTTGCAACAGGTACCGGATGTTGGCAGCCGGATGACCAGCCTGGTCCCGGATCTGGCCTTTGTTTTCAGTAAAGCCATGTTTTACCGAGGAGAGCATTTTTTGGGCCTTCTCTGTAGATGGCGCCTGCCCGGGCAGTTGGGCGCGCCCGAGCACAGAGAAAAGGCATAAGCCAAGAACTACTGCGTAATTTTTTAAATTCATGTAATTTTTATTTTTAAAAGAACAATACATAGCTGTCGCTCATGCGTGATCGATGAACAGCGGAACTATGCGGTTAACCGTATCCCTATTTATTGTGGTCAGGTAGCCTATGTGCTGCTACAGATGCTCGTTTCAATAGCTTATTTAGCTTGTATAGCCGGGAGAAATTATGCCGGTCGTGGTCATACAGTAGTTGCCATTTGATCAATTGACTAAGATGGGTTGGTTGTGGATGAATGGGTGGTGATCGGCTCATGATTTATATGGGTTACTAATTAACCTTAGTTTTATAAAACCCATTTCGAATCCAAATGTATCCGAAGACATCTTCCGGCATTTGTAGATAAATATTGACGAGGGGACGGCACCAATTACATTACAGTTAAGCAGATTTCTATGCCAATTGATTTTAAAACATCTGGATGGTCCTCTTCCTGATTTAGAGGAGTCGCCGGGCCCATGTAGGTTTATATCTACAGAGATATCGCTTGCAGCTTAAATGCAAATATGTTAACCTAAAAGATACTAGTGGCATTACCGAAAAATATCGGACGCGATGTATTTTGTGCCCGACAATGAAGGGTATGACGACAAATATTTTACTGGCAGATGATCATGGAATAGCGAGGGAAGGATTAACATCATTAATAAAAGACGTTATAGCAGATGCGCATTTTTTCCACGCGATAGATTTTAATGCAGCACTGCAGCAATTGCGGGAAACACCTATGCACTTAACGGTATGTGACATTAATATGCCTGGCGGCAATAATTTTGGGATCGTCGATAGCATCCGGAAAGTGCAGCCTGGCACCAAAATCCTGATCTTTTCTGCGTATAAAAATGAACTCTATGGAGCGCGTTATTTACAGGCTGGTGCTGATG